GCCTACCGCTTGTACTAATAAAGTGCCAAGGGCCTAAGTGGTCACCTTAATATTAAAAAAAAAAAAAAAAAAAAAAATTATATCTAATACATTTATATAGTTATCTAAGGTATGAAGTACATTTTTTTTAATTCCAATTAATTGTACTTCTTCCATATTTCTTTCACTTTTTTTGTCTTTTATAGCTTCATCATAGCAATGAACCATCAGAAGATCGATTTGATCGAAGCTAGTTAGCTCTGTTTTTTGTGAAGTAACCCATTGGCTTTTTCTTTATAAATAAGAAAAATCAAAAATACCGTGGTATTTTGTAATTAAGTATAAACAAATCAAAGATGCATCTATATTAACAGAGTTATAAACAGAGATATCATTAAAATTTATAGAAATTGGTACATACTTAGGAACTTTTTTGCTAACACATGTTGCAAAGTGGATCGGGGCTGAGAGTGAAGTGGTATCTAGGCACCTTATGGAGTGTATATTATAGTAATCATCAAGGTTATATATAAAAAGACTATTATCCTAATAAAAAAAAAAATATTTTTAAAGATTAGTTTAATTTAACCTTAATAGAGTAAAGGGTATAAAAAAATAATTTAAGCAAAGGTTCAATAAATAATTTGAGTGAAGGGTTTAAAAAAATAATTTAAGTGAAAGTTTAATAAATAATTTGAACAAAGGGTATATAAAAATAATTTTCCTTAAGCACAGATAGTAAGTTTTTAATTTTAATTTTATCTTTTCAACAAAATATTCTCTTATATTTTTTGGATACTCATTAACAAATTTTTTTCTATAGTTGTTAACGGTTCTATAACAAACCAAAAGGCCAGCCTTATACAATGTATTAATTGTATCACACAATGCACCGGATGCTACAAGATATAGTCCAATTTCTAAAGGATAGCTATTTACAAACTTATTTCATATCCCTGCTATTGAATAGCATATATTAACAACCTTTTTTTTATCTTCTTTTTTGTTATAAGCAGATCGCCTATTCGGAATAAATGCATTATATAATTCATTGAAAAATCCTTTTAATGACGGTTCTGTACTTTTAAGCATCTTTTGAAAATTATCTGGGTTTAATTTGAGTTCTTGATTTTCTTTTCTTTGCTTTTTATACAATACTCTTGTCATTAAAGCAATTTTATCACCAAAAAATAATGGCCTAAAAATTTTGATATCTGGTGTATTAGCCAACAAAGCATCGTGGTTAGAAGATTTAGCAACAAGTGCTCTATTTTTATCATGGCAATTAGGTTCGACAACAATTAAATAATGAGGATAACATAATTGCATTTCAATTTCTAAATAATTATATTGATTGATAATATCTTTGGCTTTTATTTTTGTTAGAGCATAATCTGTAATTCTGCGAAATTGGTTTAAATTTGTCTGACAATTACGAATTGAACAAGAACCATGTTTTTTTTTGGAGGCATTGTAACCAATTGTACAAAGATATTTTATAATCAATGTTATTTTAATTAATGTATATTTTTTTATTTTTAGAGAAATCGATTTAGAAAATTTATATTCTTTTTATATTTTAGAGACACAAGAGTTTTTTGATAGTGAAAATATTATATCATATGATATTTCATATAATATCATATTATATGATTAGTTTGATCATATAACCCTTAATCATTGATTGATTATGCTTGATGATCAAGCTCGATATTATGGATTCAATCAAAAGTAAGTTAATCAATCAAGTGGTTAAAATTTGATCAATTAAAAAATTTACAAAGGTATCATTATAGTAGATTACCCAGGTAGGGAATTAACTTGACAAAAAAATCATTGATCAATGATTGATCAAAAAAATTATTTTTAATAGCTATAATCCAATTAATATAGATCCTACACAGGTTCTCTAGATAATCTACCATAATGATATCTTTGTAAATTTTTTTTTTACTGTACAAATTTTCTTGATTGATCAAATTTTAACCACTTGATTAATCAATATAATCGATTATTAAATGAATTACTTTTGATCGAGCCCGTAACATTGAGCTTGATCATCAAGTATAATCGATCAATGATCGAAAGTTATATAATTAAGGCAATTCACTAATATAAAGTTATATAAGTTAGTTATATGACATAATCGTTCAATACTATTACATATCAAAAAATTCTCTTTATTCCTTCTAGAATACTATGATTGCAAATTAATAAGCTTTTTTCCTTTTCTCTCTTAATTTAGATTCTCATTATACTTTTTTTTTCTATACAAATTACTCTTTGCTTATAGCACTTTGAGATTTGCAGCACATTCTTGTTACATTCAGAATTTTTTTTCTTATAAAAGCATATACTGTAATAACTAACTTTTATTTTTAAATAAAGCATTTTTTATTAAAAAAAGTTTTTACAAATATTATATTTGATAATAATTTAATCTATTTAAAAAATTATATAGTCTAATGCTTTACATAGTTGCACTCTATTATTTCAAACAATTATATTCTATCTAATAGCCCATTGTAAAATTTGAAGGATGAATTACTAAAAAGAGCAAAAAAATGTATTCGTATTATTAATATACTGTATATAACGATACAGCAAGTTTTATTTTATATGTAGTAAAATAGAAAATTGCAGATAATTATTGCAAAATTCTAGAAATAATGGTTGAAATATTTTGGTATTATATGTAAGCCTTACTCTAGATTGGTATGTGCAATAATAAACCATTTTTATTGGTCTAATATCATGTGATTATATAAAATTAGTATTTTGTAGATCACAAAAATTTACCAATCAAAACAAACTTCCATCATGCTAGTCAACAATATATGAAAATAATTTATATTAATTTATAGACCAATTTATTAATTTTTACATATTACTAATATCATTTAATACTTATTCAAGTTCATTTACTCTTGTATATAAATTAATAAAATTATTATTAACATTAATTTTAAGATTTGAAAAATTTATTGTTAATATTTTTTTTAGTATTTAAATAAAAACTCTTCTCTTTTTTTTTATATTTTAAAAATGATCCAAAAAATTAATAATATAAATAATATTCTTTTTAATGAGGAAGAATCTATTCAATACTTATTAAAAAAAGATTTAATTAAACAACCAACTTTTTGTAAATTTTGTAATCAAAATTTATATCGATATCAAAAATCTTGGAGATGTATTAACAATAAATGTAGAAAATTATTTTCTATATACAAAGATTCTTTTTTTTCAAAACATCATATTCGATGTAATAATATTTTATTATTAGTTTATTTTTGGGTAGCAAAACTTTGATACTAACAAATTTTAGATATTACAAAATATTGTAATGATACAATTTGTGATTATTCTAAAATATTTCATGATTTAGTAATTAATTCATTAAATAGAGATGATAAAATATTAGAAGGGAAAGGTATTATTGTGGAAATTGATGAATCGAAATTTGGAGATTTATGGGTTGTTGGAATTACTAAAAGAACTGGAAACAAGAAATATTATCTTTTTAAGTTTATAAAAGAATATGTAAAACCAGGTTCTACACTTTATAGTGATTGTTGGAAAGGTTATAATAATATTGAAAAATTAAATATTAAACATATCCGAATAAATCATTCGAGAAAACCAGCTGAACAACAATTAATTTGTGAAATTTATACAAATACAATAGAAGGAACATGGAATGCTTTGAAATTATTTATTTCAAAAAGTAACTAAATAATTGGATTTATTGAACTGTTACTTAAAGAATATATGTGGAGACGCAAATATAAAAACAATACTTGGGAATCTTTTTTACAATTGACAAAATATAGATAAAAAATCTATCAAAACAATTCATTATTTAGAGTTAAATTATCTTAGTTTAAATTATTTTTTATTAATAAAAATAGAAAATTTATTACATTTTAATATATTACATGAAATTAAAAAAAATAAACAGAGTTAAACTATTAAACCTAAGAAAATAAAAAATAAAATATTAGCTCATTGGTACAAGGTTTACAACTCCAGTGGTCCAAATGACATCTTATGATTTGTAAACCATAAAATACTTAGACCTTACTTCTCATACTGTGTTTAAAAAATATTTACGAAAGTGTTTATAAAAAGTATTTGAAAAAAAAGTGTTTAGAAAAGGTGTTTACAAAAGAAAAGAAACGTAAATATAAATAATAATATAAATATTGATAAACAAATATGTAAATCAATAGATCTAGAATGTATATAAACAAAGATCTATAAATAGAATATATGTAGATCTAATTTAAGCTGTATATTCGCTTATTATTTAAATTATCAAATATAAATAAATTTAGATTATCAAATATATAAATAAATTTAATTTATCAAATATAAATAATTTAGATTAACAAATATAAATAAATTTTTTAAATATTAAATATATATTCGGTTGATTATATTAAATTTACCTAAATTTTATTTAAAAAATTTAGATTATCAAATATAAATAAATTTAGATAAATAATTAGTTTATTTTACAATTTATTATTAAGAAAACTTTATTAACAAAATGAGAAAAAAATAACAACTGCATGTAAATCATGTCAAGTTAAAAAAATTAAATGTTCTGAGGAAAGACCATGTCTACAATGTGTTAAAAGAAATATAGAATATATACCAACAACAAATAGAAAACGCAGACCTCCCACTAAAAAAGAGAAGGCTAAAATGTTGCTAAGGGAACCATAAATTTTTTATTAAATGAAAATTAAATATAAAAAACAATTTTCCGTTTATTTTTTTTATTTTTTTATAAATTAACACATCAAGGATACCAAATTTATTTAAAATGTCTTTCTTAAAGAATTTTATTAACAAACTAAAAAACAAATGAGATAGCTTTGATAGTGAAAAAACATATTGTGAGAAGTGGAACGAAGATTCTATATTTAAGAAAATTCTAAAAAAAATATTTAAAAAAGACGATAAAAAAGAAGTTATTGAAAATATTTTTTGGGGATGAGATGATAATATTCAATCGTCTTATTCAGCTAACAATATTAAAGACGAATCTCTAATACTATCAACTGAAGAAGAAAATCCAATATTTATTAAAGAAATTCAAACTAGT